AAGAAATTAACTTCGCTGTCTTTTGCCTCACCTCTGGACACATTCTTAGCTTATCAAATCTCCCGTCTCACCCTTGAACACTTCGTCAAACAGGTTTCCCATCTTTTCCGTTAGTTTCAGTAGGACATGCTCATTTTTTAGCAATTTAGAAAGTTGAGACTGTTTCCTATTTCAATTTCTCATGACACCCAAGATATCCATCCTTTCCTATGGAGAGGCTATCACCAGCTTGAGAATTTGGAGCAGGAGAATGCCAGCCTGCTTGGTTTTCCTCGCTCCTCCTCTTGGGTGGAGGCCAGGACTTGGAAAGTGGAGACATAAAGGGTTAGAAACTCTTTCTTGATGAGACAGCAGCCATCTGGGTTAGTGCCATGTTCCTGACAAGAAGTGGAGGCATGCTGGCTCTGTCTCTCTCTCACGGTACCTACAGAAACCTCACAGACCTGCTGTCCACTCTGAGCCTGTGGTTCCCTGGCAAGGTCTGAGCTCTGCTCCTATACTCGATTGTGGCACCCTGTGCCTTCTGTTCCAGGATACCCCAAAGTTCCTTTCTGCTAGAATTGCATCCGCTGGTAGGCAGGGTTCTTGGTAGGGCCTTCCTCATGATGCAATCCTAGCTACTTCTGGAAGCATCTTCTTGGGCCATGGGACAGGTCAGTGTCATGCCCTAACCATTGGCACAAGAGCTCCCCTCAGCTGGCCAGCAGGGGCTGCTCCTACCTGCCCAGGCGAGCGTCTAGTGTCAGTGTTGGTCTCCTACAAACTCTGGGAGGCGCATATTGAATGCTCTCCCCAGAGAACTCCCCTAGGGCTTCCCAGGGAGCTTCTGCAGCTCAGAAAGCCCCCAGCAGGGGTAAGGGTAGGGAGATAGATGTGAGTCTTCATTCCAGCAGATCACCTTTGCTCTCTGATTATTTCTCTCCAAGACACTTGTTTGTTTTGATGTGGGAAAGGAATGTAGAGCATTCCAATAACTTTGCCTGATAAATCCTCAACCTTTTTCTCACTGTAAATCATTAACATTCTCTATTATACTCTGGAGGTGAGTGAATAGTCTCAGAACCAGTTTTGGGCTACCACATGGACTATATGCACAGTTCTGCATCTCTTTTCAGAATGTGGAATGATTGAGACATGTTTTTCTCAGCTTTGATGCCTCAGGTGAGACCAGAAAAAAAAATTAACATCTGGCTGCACAGTTAATTGTAGCAAAATATATATGAGGTGCCTTAGAGTAGCAAGTTCAAATCCAGATCAGACCTAACTCACTCCAGAAAAGACAGAAGCTCCATAGCCTAGGTGGTATCTGTCTCGTTCAGTCCAACTACGTCTTCTCCCACACTGGCCATGTTTTATGGTCTCATCCGCTTTCCATTCTCTTATTTTTCTTGTCAAGCCTCCTGTAGCTTGGGAAATTTCCTGTGTGCCTCTGTATGTGCACACATGCTCATGTACACTTAGTGTACACTTAGCTGAGCATATATTCTCAGATTTTAGAAATTTACTTGATCAATATTAAAATTGAAAGGGGAAATTTTAGTCAGTTTTGTTCTCAGGACAGTTTTTCTTCTTCTGTTAAGCTTTACAAAACTATGTATTATCAGTGTGTGACTCCTCTCCCAATTCACAGCTCCCTGGGGCTTACATTTTAAAATTATTTTAATAACATCCTGGTGCACATTGCTCTCTGCATTTTCTGACTGAGCACCCTGGGAAGGCTTAGGAGGGTCCCAGAGGGAGTCAGAGACAGGAATCTTCTTTTCCCAAAGCCCCAGTGGTTGGTGTTTAAATAGTAAGTAATTTCCTTTTGTCTCTCGAAGTTCCGTAGGCAGATTGCCAGCTGCCTTGGGTCTGCAGCTCTTGACTTTGCCAACCTTTAAGATATTGACTAAGCATATTAGATTAAAAAGGAAAACTTTCTTTTCCCATTATTTATAATTACTATGTTTCTAATTCAGTTTCTGTAAATATGTATTATTATTGAACAAATTCTACATTAAATTAAAATGAAAATATTTCATTTTACTTATAATTCACAACCATGCTTATTTCCTAATTATTTTACTTTGAATTATTAGATCAGGTTTCCAAGTTTAGCTCTGTGTTAATTTACACAAATGATTGGAGGTGGTTTGGGGAGTGTATAAAAAGCTCAACTATTTTTCTATCCACAAGGTGAACATGTTCTTTGCAGTAGTGGAAACCGAACTCTTCTGTTTTTGGTCACTGAAACATCCATATTAAAAAAACAATTTTAAAGGAAACCCTTTAAATGCACATCAGCAAACACATGAAAAGAGTTTCCCCAAAACGGTAGATTAGTTTTATTCCAGGAGGGCAGCAGAAAGAATCACGGGAAGGGTCACTGACACGGGTGTTTTCTTCTTTTACCGAGAGGCTGACCAAGAATTGCCTGCGGAAAGCACCTCTAAAAAGAAAGAATTCATCAGGACGTGGGCAGCTAGAACTCAAATCATATGTGGTCGCCATCTTGTCGCCTCACTCCATGTCCTTCATTTTGGTTCTTCATTAACAGCAGAGGCCTCGGCCTTCCTTGGAGGACTTTTTGAAAAGGTTTTCCATTCTGCAATTTCACACTCACATTTTGAAAGAACATATAGTCAAATCTCGATTTCTTAATTAACATCAAGAGTGAAATAATACCTCCTGGATGAGTATTACTCTTCTTCCTTTATCCAGTTACCGTTTCTGAGTTTGGAGTGAGGTCATACAGCATTTTCAGTGCAAATTTAAATTTTAAGTGTAAAGCAACAATGTTTTTTAAAGTATTTGCATTAAGCTTCAAAAATACATGCATGACAATTTTTTCTGTTTAAATAAATGCTTTAATGTTGTCCGTTTCTCAGGTATCTTTCTTCTGTACCATCCTTTCCTCTTTATTGATTTCTTTATCCTGGTTCACTTAAAAAATTCGTGTGTTACCATCCTGGCTAACACCGTGAAACCCCGTCTCTACTAAAAAATACAAAAAAAAAAAAAAAATTCGTGTGTTACAGGGTGGGGAACATCACACACCGGGACCTGTTGTGGGGTGAGGGGATGGGAGAGGGATAGCATTAGGAGAAATACCTAATGTAAATGACGAGTTAATGGGTGCAGCAAACCAACACGGCACGTGTACATATGTAACAAACCTGCACGTTGCGCACATGTACCCTAGAGCTTAAAGTATAATAATAAAAAAAATTTAAAAAAATTCGTGTGTTAAAAGAGGTATTAAATGATATATTTCCTATGTTATTTATTTAACTTTTAATTAATTTATTTTGGCTGTTGCACATGTATGAGGGTTAGCTGAGTGTTGAACTCAACAGTCATAATCATTTTCCCTTCCAACTAGGTAAATATGACTGCAGACATCTAAACCAATCTGATTCTGGTTTCTTTGCAAGAAAATTGTCCATTCCAAGTAGATGTAGCTTTTATTTTCTTTATATTAAATAAAAGAAATTAAATTAATTTCTTTATATTAAATTTATTTATATCAAATTAAATTTCTTTATGTTAAATATATTATATTTTCTTTATAATAAATGGTCCTTCGATGATTTTTAATTGAAATTTAGGAGTCAAGCCATGGAATTGGAATTGTACCAAAGCAGTACCTCAGAATCTTTTTTAATATAGGCAACCACTATCTATCAGTAATAATTGGTGCACAAGATGAAAGCTATTTTCTACCTCTTCTCTAAATAATAGGAGGTTTTTAAACTAACTTTCTAATTCATTAATTAGATTTTCTGTGGTAGCTTGTATGTCACTTCTATTACATTTCAAAATTTGGAAGTCAGTTTTTTATTTCCCAGAATGTTTTGTTTCTTCCATATTGTTTTGTGCTCGTGGCAGGCTTAGTATGGTGGTTTTGATGATTTAAGTTTTTCTATTTTCCCTCTAAATTTATAGGGTCTCACTCCTGTCATTCAGGTGGGAGTGCACTGGCATGATCTAGGCTCACTGCAGCCTCCACCTCGCAGGTTCAAGAGATCATCCAGCCTCAGCGTGCTGAGTAGCTGGGATTACAGGTACACACCACAGCCCCCCTAATCTTTCTATTTTTAGTAGGGTATTTAGTGTTTTTGTATTTCTAGTATTTTAGTTTGCTTACATTCATTGATGAAGACATTAATAATTGACATCACTCCTTTGGTAATGGACTGAGTGTACCCTCCCCCAACTCTGGGTGAACATGACCAAGAAGAATTTCTGCTCACTCAGCTCGTTTTCGGTCCTCAGACACCTGGACCCAAGAGTTTTTCATGGGCCCTGGAAATTCGGGGGCTGAGAGGCACTGCCCCTATTTCTACAGAGGCTTCCCAATAGTGAGTAGGTTCTGCCTGCTCAGTCTTCTGCCAAAGCTGCTCCACGTATCAGGCATGTAACTAGACCCTCTTTATATTTTACAAATTTGATAATCTCTTTTCATATTGCATTGGTTTTGACATTTCGCAAGAAATTGGGAGATGTAAGGATTTGCATGCATGGCTTTATACATTTTTGAGGGTATTTTAAAATTATCCTTTAAAGTTTTTTAAAACCTAGCACTTTAGAATCCCCATTTATAGAATAATGTTCATATGATTAGCTATGATAAATTGAAATGTCACTTGAACTCTTTTCTCATCCCACATCACAGTAATGCAAAGTACAAAGTCTATTTGTCTTTGGGTTGGAGTTTAAACATTTAGTGCTCTATAGTTAGTTAGCTTTCATCTACGACTCCCAAATTGATGTGAATGTTTTGTAGGATTATCCCTTAACAAATATGCAGGAGATAAAATTGGAGCAGTTATTACTATTTCTCTCTTAAAATATGGGACTGAGGATGGAGTGATGTCTGTCGCTTTGTCATGGTCATGTGGTGATGTGTCTGGCCCACTGGTCAAGGATCTGTCCACACAACTATGATGATTTCATGTTTTACACAACTTTCTCTCCTTTTCCACCCAATTTTAGCCTTTTGGGCTTCTGTGTACACATATACTGCCTTCATAGCACTCTCAAATGACTACATCCCGTTGTGTTTAGCTACATGTGAAGACCATGGTAGATTTCAAATTCTTGAAGATGAAAGATCTTCAATTCTCTAAAACGGCAATCCTAAAAATTAAAACACCATTTTAGAAGATGGATACATTCTCCAAGTACAACAGAATGTTTTTAGGCAATTATTGATCACATTTCATAAGTAGAATTTTGCTACAATTTTTGGGAAATTGACATTGAGTCTATGCCCAAATTATTATTATTAAGTATAATTAATATAATATAACAACTTATATAACTTAACTTATATTAACTTATATAACTTAATATAATTAATATATTAAAGATAATTATTAAGTATTGCCTTTTCCACTAACACCTTCATCAAAGTTCTGTTTTATTTACATTCCAAACCATCTTTATGCTGTGTTTGAAGTGCACCTAAAAGTAAAGAAGGAGCTGGTATGGCGGGAGGGGTGGAGATCTATAAGCCAAATTGTCAGATCTTACTCTCCGAATCTACAGCTCATTTGCTCCTCTGCAGAAATCTATAATGCAGACACTCATGCAGAGGTAGCTTCTGTACCAGCAAAGCAATCAACTGATCAATTAGAAGGAACAGAATCTAAACCTTTGACCACTAAAACGGTATGTATTTGAATCATAACAAATGAATTTGGTAAGGTAACCTCAATCTAATTTGTATGTAAATTATCATGTTATTCTAAAATATTAAGCTTTTACTCTATTTAAATCATAAGCAAAGAAAAAAATAAAGAAATTCTTCAAATGTCTTATTAGCAAAGCCAAATATTGATAGCATTCAGACTTCTTTAAAAATAAATAAAACTTGGCATTGGCTGCCTGGAAAATCACTTCAGGACTAATAATATTCCAGGAAATATATCTCAGCTTATGTTAAGCAAGAGACATAAACTGTGTGACTTACTTCAGCTGCCTGGGATTGATTAAAGTGTAACCAGTTGCAAATATAATAAGAACCTATGGGTGTGCTCTAAGCATAAAACTAATGTTGGTTCAAAGCATTTCTTCTGGGTCATCAAGCCAACATCAGCCATGAGGTCTAGAAAGATCACTGGATGGTTACTCTCCGCTACCTTTAAAAGATGTTTTACCCCTTGATGACAATGAAAAGTAAAAGAATCAGTGTGTCTCAGTCTTTTCACACTACTATAGCAAAATACTTTAGATTGAAAAATTTATAACTAATAGAAATTTATTGACCATAGTTCCAGGGGCTGGGAAATCCAAGACCAAGGTACCAGCAGAATCATTGTCTGGTGAAAGTGTACTCTCCTTCAAAGATGGCACCTTCTAGCTACGTCTTCACATGGCAAAAGAGATGAACAGACTCCCACAAACCCTTTTATAAGGGCAGTAATGCCATTCATGGGGCCAGAGTCCTCATGACCTAATCACTTTATAAAGACCCCACAACTTAATACTACTGCATTGCGAATTAAGTATTAACATGAATTTTTGAGAGACACAAACATTTAAATAACAGCAGAGTGGAAAATCTAGCTTAAACAATTATTGGAAGTTAAAATACTTGATCTATTAAGAATGCAACATCTTTCTTCCTAGCAATCTCTAAAATTAATAGTGGCAGATAATGTGGTTATCATTGTGAAACAAATGTCAACAGACATTAAAATAAATTTCCATTCCTCCCAAATCCAAATTGTATCTTTACTTTCCATTTGTGAAAAACTCGCTCTCTCTCTCTCACACACATACACATGCACAATATATATATATTTTTTTCAAAAGAGAACTAAATGGACACCACAAATTATACAATAGATGAACATAACCAAAGCAACAATGATTACAATGACCAAAAATGAACACACTCATACTATGTTGTAATAGTGACAGATTTGGCCCAGTAACTTGCCCTTGCAGCAGTTCTTTTATTGTCTGTGATAATTGACTTACATGTTTTTTGACTTTGAGACCTTGTAGGATTTCAAGTTCCCTTTCCTTTCTCTTCCTTCCTTTCCTTTTCCTTTTCCTCCTTCCTGTCCCTTTCCTTCCCCTTCTTCCTATCCCTTTCCTTCTTCTCTTTTTTCCTTCCTCTCTTCCATCAGTTTCATCTTTCAAACAAAATATGTATTGGATCTCTAACGGGAGGTGGGAAACACGCTGTACTCTGGGGATGCAGTGCAGAGTCCACTGAGACGTGCCTGCAGGAGTGCGCAGCAGCGAGCAACGTGACTCTGAGTAAAATTCTGAGAGCACACAGAAGAGAGGGAGTTTTTTTTTGCCTGTGTACTCTGGAAAGTTTCAAGAGCCTAATACTTCAAAAAATGTGTCCTGAAATTGCAATTTATATTTTACCAATAAAGAGGCAGCAGAAAGCTGAGCAACCAGAAAAGCGAGTGGGAGTGTGTAGAGCCAGTGCGCGGTTTTGCAAACAGAGCTGGTTTCCGGGGTGAGTAGCTCCTGGCATGTCTGGGGGAGTAGGTCCCTTTTGGGATGTAGCTTGAGGTAAGATTTAGAAGGATTTTAAGGGCAACGATAAAAGGATTGACATTTATTTTGAAGAGAGTGGGGCCATGTCACATTTCTGAGAAGGGGACTTTATGAACTGATCTGTGTTTTCAAAAGGCAACTCCCATCATAAGACTGGTAATAAATCAGCAGGGACATGTCTGGAAGCTTTATTGTTTTATTTTGCACATTAAATTCTGTGGTCCAACTAAATCAATTTTCTTCTTTGATGTAAGTTAGAGGTCAAAATTCATTTTTTCAATGTAGATATCAGATTCACCTAGTGCTACTTATGGCGATTCTAAGACTTATCCCACTGAGTATCAGTAGTTTCTTCATCACAAACCAGGTAACCATGTGGTAGGTTGGTTGCAGAAAGATCTTAATAAGTCTCCCCATATCCGCTGCTTCAGTTCTATAATTTTTACTTCTCTCCAACTCTGCCTTGGACTCAGCCATGTGACTTATATGAACCAATTGGATGTGAAGAAAATAATTTCAACGTACACTAAATTTCCATGTGCCTTTTTGCATAATTGGGCTTGCTGGGATTTAGCTGTTTGCATTTACCATGATGACATGTGTGGAGGGATTGAGGAATGTGAGAGGCCAGTGGATGAGAGCCCAGTCATCTCAGCCATTGCAACTGAAACCATCATAAACTGGTCACAGCCACTGACCCCGAACATGTCAGACAGCCCAGCCTCCATCAGCAGAGGCACTCACCCAACCTGCAGCTAACCACAGATGAGACCTGCGGTTGACCACAGATCCCAGGTGAGAGTAGTAAAACTGCCCAGCTGACTACTAATGCATGAGCAATAACAAATTTACACTGTTTTAAGGCATCTGCGGACAGTGTCTAAAACATCATTATCATGACAATAGGTAATTAAGGCAGAAATGCTATGCAGAATTGGGGTGCTGGTGCTGCTATAACAAAAATCTTAAATTCCTGTCATTGCATTGTGGTCAAGGTTGGAGGAAGTGGAGGAAAATCAGGAGTCTGCAGTTACAGTGACCCATGTCATGTGGTGGTGGAACAAATTGTAAAGCCCTCATGCATGCTAACTTGGGAGACAGCAAATGTACTTAATAAACTTTTGGATTTGAACAATTAAATTTTGAAGCAGAATGTTGAATGTTCAGCTGGCTCTTAGAGCTAAGTGTAATAAGGTATTGCAAGAAAGAGATGAGCTAGAGGAAGAATGGAGCATTTTGCAATCAAAATTTAGAGGGAATATGGAAGAGCCAGAATTTTCAAATTCGGGCGAGAAGCTTGTTTCTCATCTCCAATATTTCCATTAGGTTAAAAAGGTCCTCAGGATAAAATTATCATCTATGAGTGGAGACTAAATTAACAATATATTTGTAAGATCTTTTCTGATGACCTCAGTACATCCTCTCAGCTAGACAAAGGGATTTTACATATCAGTACAGTAATCAAAATTGAAAATGTAACATTGACTCAATACTATTTTTAATCCATATTTCATATTCAAATTTTATTAATTTTCCCAATAATGTTTTCTGTAGCTACCTTCCTTTGTTACATGCCAGGATCCAATTCAGAATTTGACATTAAATTTAATTGCCGTGTCCAGTTTGTCTCCTTTAATCCAGGAAATTTACTCAGCTTTCATCTTTTATGATTTTGACTTTAAGAATTCAGCCCAATTACTTTGTAGAATGTTCCTCAGTTTGGGTTTGTTGCATGTTTCCTCCTGATTGAATTCAGGTTATGAGGTCATGCTTTTCTTTTCTTTTGGCAGAAATATTAAAGAAGTGATGTTTCCTTCCCAGGGCGTCATAACTGTAGGCAGATGATGTCCATTTGTCCTATTATTGAGGATATTAACTTGGATCACTTGGTTAAGGCTGTGTTAAGTTAACCCATCCCAAAATTTTTATTCCTGTTGTAAAAAAGCAAATAACATTGAGTCTATGTAAATATTATTATTTAGCAAACTTACATTCATTAGTTTTTGTGTCCACTGAAGAACGCTGCCTGGATCAATTGTTGTAGTACCATGGTGAAACTGTATTTTCCTCAACATGCATAATGCCATTCAGAGTTGTTGGCTATACATTACACAGCAATTCTAGTTTAAGCAGGAAAGAGACTTATTTAGGCATACTAGAGACCCTCAGACTGTGTCACAGAAGGCCAGAGAACCATCCTTTGGTAGAACACCCACGTGGCCCAGCAGGACTGCCCCAGCAGAGGAACACGGAGCTGTGGGCACAATCCCTGTAGACAGCACTGACAGTGCTGGGCCTGGGTGCTATGGCTGGCCTGGCAGAGGAGGTTTCCTCCCTTACCCTCACCACAAAGGACGCTGCAAAGCACCTGCTTTTGAGATTCTCTGGTCTCTGAACAGGAGCCTCACTCATGTCTATTCAAATATGCTTACTGTTAGAGCCAAGGTCACATGCTTGCACCTTAGCTGCAAGGGAGGATGCAAAGTGAGAGCTGACTTCTTCCTTATGAGGGCAGAGCACCAGCTTACAACCTGAGGAATTCACAACCACTGGAGAGAAATGTTAGGAAGATTTAAAAACTTGATAATTTTTAGCAGTAAAGCTTTTCTCTTTCTTCCTTCTTCTTTCTTCTTTTTATTTCTTTCCTTATTTTTTCTAATATTACCTTTTATGATATTAAAACAGCTATTTTATTCTCTTTTACTTTCTTTAAGTGTATTCATACTTAAATAAATGGGACTTATTCTAAATTTTTTCAACAGTGTCAAAAATTATTTAGGTCCTGTCTTCTCCTTCCACAATAGGACAAGGGGCATGGTATTTGTTAGCTGTTAACTAGAGGACCACTCAACCTGTTGTCTAGAATTTTAGCCACAACTGTTTAATACACAGAAATCAAATTTAGACACAGAATTGGTTATATGAACACATAGATGTTAGTAGGGTCTTTACTGGGCATAGTTTCGTAATCCCCACCATGCCTCCATAGGCACTTTGCTTTTTTTTTTTTTTTTTTTAATGTGTAGTCCTTCCTTTCAACGCAGAAAGCTTGTAAACTATCTTAAATAAGACTAAAAATGTCTTTATTGCACCATAAATTCGAATGGTCATGGATTAGAACATTACTCAATATTGATTTTCCTCCCTCAGTACCCTGAGGATACTTCATTGATTTCTTCATCAATTTGCCAGTGATGTGTCTGCCGTTATTCTTGCAGATATTTCCTTTCAAAACATTTTTTATAACTTTTAGTTTTTTTCTTTAACTTGCTGTTCTAAATTGTACTAGATTATGTCCCAATATGGATTTTTCCCTTAACTCACTCTGAACTCAGATTGAGTGTTATACAGAAGATGTGAGCTTTAAAGTTGGAAAATAACCATTAGACTCTAACTTTTAGACTATTCACTTCTGCGTCATTGTCTTTTCATCTTCTAGAGTTGCCACTAAGAGTGTTTGGAGTCTCTCAGTCTATCTTCTGTATCTCTTAGTTTTCCGTATTTTAAAAATAAACTCCCTTCTTGTTGTCTTTCTCAGTGTTATCTTACTATGTGGAAATTGTTTGGGGAGCTCGACTATATCTTGTTCTCCACTCCTATCTCCAGTTTGACTGCCTAAATGTTTGTCGTTTTATCACAAAGGTTCAGAGAGATTCATTTCCTTATGGATTCATACATTCACGCATTTACGCATGCTTTCAACAAGAATTCATTCAGTTTTTTTTGTTTTTTTGTTTTTTTTTTTTTTGAGGCGGAGTCTCGCTCTGTCGCCCAGGCTGGAGTGCAATGTCCGGATCTCGGCTCACTGCAAGCTCCGCCTCCCGGGTTCACGCCATTCTCCTGCCTCAGCCTACGAGTCCCTGGGACTACAGCCGCCGCCACCACGCCCGGCTAGTTTTTTTGTATTTTGTAGTAGAGACGCGGTTTCACCGTGTTAGCCAGGATGGTCTCAGTCTCCTGACCTTGTGATCCGCCCGCCTCGGCCTCCCAAAGTGCTGGGATTACAGGCTTGAGCCACCGCGCCTGGCCAAGAATTCACTGAGTATTATTGCCCCGTGCTCTATGGTGGGGGTGAATATTCCAAAGGTTTTAGGTTAGAAAATGGACTTTTTTGGTTTTTTACATATTTTTATTATCTTAGTTCAAGATAAGGAAAACGTGATCACTGATAACATAAGTCTCAGGATATCGCTCTTAAAATGTATTAAATTTAAATTCCAGAAATTGGCTATTGATAGAAAACAGAGGTTTTTTTCTCTCTGACATCTTACTCCCTGTGAATAGGTGTATGATACTTTCTTCCTGTGGGTCATTTAATGATAAGAGCCCCATTAATTTTTATACAAGGAAAAAATTCAGGCCACCTTCAGTTGTCTTTTAGTTTTTTTATTTCTACAATAGAAGTAATTAATATTCTTTTCAGATAAATGGCTATGGTTAAATCATATGAAAAGAATGACAGGGTCTGCCTTTTTCCTTCCTTTTTTCTTCTTCCCCTTCTTATTTCTTTCCTTCCTCTGTCTTTCTTTTTCCTCCTTTCATCATATATATGTTACCTGTATGGTACTAACTGCTGGCAGTCCTCACATCAGAAACATATAGTCCAGGTATCCCAGGACTTCAGAGTCTCTAGAGCAGCAGAGCTATGGTGATTCTAACCATAGCAAGTTGACTGCTGTACCCGTGTGGAAGTGAGACTGGAGCGGCTCAACTCCAAGACCTCTCTATAAATCAGAGAAACTCTACAGAAAAGGTG